CTACTTGGGAGGCTGAGGCAGGAGACTCGCTTGAGCCCAGGAGTTAGAGGTTGCTGTGAGCAGTGAAGCCAAGGCACTCTACCCAGGGGGACAGCTGGAGGCTCTGTCTCAAAAAAATAAAAAAATAAAGTATGCAACCTTTTTTTCTCCCTTGAATAATAAAATTTATATTTCTGCAGTGTTGAGACCAAGGGCTTTGTTCTGGTTCTGTCTTGGGTCATATCTAAAGCTTCCTCAAACAGGGCTTGGCTCAGATCATGACAAGGTGTAACAGGTTACACATGTAGAAGGTGCTGGCACAGACGGACGGACAGGGGATCAGCAGGTCCTAAGAAAGGGACTCAAGGTCAGGGTCCTTCCTAGTTCTGTCCATCAGGGAACTCAGCCATAAACTTAGGTCTAGTATTGATCATGCCCAGAATGCTCTGAAAATGTTTCCTGTAGAAATGGCTCTCATCGTAGGCAGTTTTATGGAGAAAAATTAAAATTATGCTGGCGCGGAGAACTACTGCAAAGGCCGTAGGCACTGCTTTGCTTCAGCAGTATTGTCCCTGCTGACAGGGACAAACTGAGAGTCCCAGAATCTGGAGGGTCCCTTAAAGGCCTTCCACACAGTCTTTTCCTGCTCTTCTTTCCATTCAGCATATTGTCTCTCCAAGTAAAGGGCAGCCCTTGCTGGTAGAGTTACAGAGGTAGGTCTAAATGTCTCTGTGTTCACCCCACCACAGGATGTCTGGGTTTATTTGCCTTTCAGCCCTAATCAGTAATGAATCCTTTCTTTTTGTTTTCAACCCAGGGGTTGCCCTGCTCTCAGATGTGTACCCGGAGAAAATCTTGCCAGAACTGTTGGCTCAATATGACAGTGGCAAAGACAAGCACACGCCCGAGACCAGAATGAAAGTTGGGGAAGTCCTGATGCGCATTGTCAGGGCATTAGGTGAGTTTTCTTGTTCCATCCATCTGGATCAGGGTGGAAGAGCAGTGTGTGACTTTGAAACTGAAATATGTGTATCTGGAGGTTTGTTACTCTAGCATAATGATAGCAGTTTAGGGGCTGAGATGAACTAGTCCCTGGTAAGAAATTTAGCAAATATCCAGATACCCATTAAGAGATTAGCAGCAACAGTATCCATTTTTCTACAAGTGCTTAGTCTCCTTCCCTTAGGGCTATGTTGGGCCTTGATTTTCAGTGGAGCTGGAATGAGAAGTTTCACACTTTTGAGCAGCAGGAAGCATGAAAAGAAAAGGAAAGTCAAGCAGAGAAGGAAGTGCACTCACTCCTGTTGAATGTCTACTGTGTGCTGAATTGTTAACATATGTAATCTCATCCAACCTGTGCAGCAAATCCTGTAAAGAAGCCATTGTTAGACCTACTTTATAGATAAGGAAACTGTGGCTCAGCAGTTTGCCCAAGACTCATTCAGTTGGTAAGTAGTAGTGTTAGGAAGTGAACCATCAACTTGAAGGAAGTTGCTCTCAGCTGTATAAACTGAGAGCAGTTAAGAGATAGGCTCTAGACCAAGGATTTTCAACTGGTGTGCTGTGAGAGGATCTTAGTTGTGCCACAAGATGTTTAAAGATCATTAATTAAATTATTTTTGAAAGAAGTTCAAAGCATAGTAAGTATATTCCTTTTTTTACTTTTTTTTTTTTGATCAACATAATTTAAGTGTGCTGTGTAAGTTTAACTATAGGTTCTAATGTCCCATGAGATAAAAAGGTTGAAAAACACTTCTCTAGACTTTTATTACCTGAGTTCAAATCCTGAACTGCTTTTTTTTTTTTTGGAGACAGAGTCTCATTTTGACACACTTGGTAGAGTACCATAGCGTTATCACTCACAGCAATCTCAAAGTCTTGGATTCTAGTGATCCCCTTGCCTCAGCCTCCCAAGTAGCTGGGACTACAGGCATCCACCATAATGTCCAGCTATTTTTTT